TTCCCAGTTTTAGGAGAGGACATTCGGGAGGCTCCCAAGCCTTCCTCTGAATGCCCCCCCCCCTCCACGGTTGTTAATGGGCATATTCTTTGTTGTCGTTTTCTTAGTTTGCCCATCCGTTGCCCTTTTTGTCCATTTTAGTTTTAGTTTTTGTGTCTTGAAATCAGTTTTTTCTTTGTTCAAGTTTAACGGCCAGTGTTTTCTCTCTTTTTTAGATCCCTTATAATTGTGGTGAAGCGCTACCGCTTTGGTGAAGCTGGTGGAAGCAAAGTAGACGAGAGGGTTGGCGTCAGCAGAGGAGCTTTTTCTAAAGGATCTTTATGTCGATTCTGAAGTAAAAAGGCAGGAAGGGAAGGCCAGGCAAAGGTGAGCTGTCCTTTCGCGTATTGTTTCTTGTTTACCGTACAATGCCCTTTTCGAATTTTTGTGGCAGCGAGATTATCTGGTGTTTTTCCAGTGTGACACAGTCCTTGTTTCCTTTGGCTGGCGGGAAACCGAACGGCCACGTAGAGAGCTCTGACGAGACGTCATCAGAAGGTGGCATCACGGGGCAAAACGAGCAGACGATGTCCTCTCAAGGGAGCGCCACTATGACAGCAAGACAGCTTTCCTTCACAGCTACAGAGCAAGTGGAGAGCGACGATTGTCTCATACTCGAAACTGCCCGAAGCCCTGAGAAAGCAGCGAAGTGTGTGACTGCCCCGAGTACACCATCGGTTGGTTTGTTAAGTGAAAGTCACAAATTAAAGTCACATTTCACCTATTATCACATGTTCTCATAACTATTTTTAAGCAGGGAAGGAGTAGAGTTAACACTCCTGAGAGCTTTAGTAAACCTTCTGGTGTCGGTGAGAATGTCTTCGCAAATGCAATCTCGTGCAGCTCTTTCACCACTGATGATGAATCGACCTCTAGTTAAGATGGGAAAGGTCCGTTGTTTTACAGTATTTATTTCTGTGTGGAACTCTTACGAGTCCCGCCATTGCATATTCTGGCGCTCACTTACAAACCTGTAGTCGCTAAGTGACTCACTAGAGATGAAAAGCCTCTGCGTTCGCTACCGCCTACTTGAATGACGAGAATGCTATGTTCCGACTGTCCACCTCTAGCACAGTGAGGAGCGACCTCTCATGTGATCGAGTGTGCTATACATTACGTCTTCAGAGCCGCTCCCATCCACTCAGCTTGACGGCTTTCATGCTGTAGTCTCTCATCACTCGCACGTTCAATATTGTGAGCTGGTCGTATCCTTAACCCATTCGCGACCAGGCGTGTTTTTCGAAA